CCCCCAGCTCCCTCAGCTGCTCCTGCTCACACTTGTGCTCCAGCCCCTTCCCCAGGTCTGGCAGGCAGTGGTACCTGCTGCAGGGCAATGCCCAGCCAGGATGGCCAACCCTGGATGGGGACCCCCCTACCAATCCCACCACAGTGTTCCCCAACACCCAGCTTGTCTGTCACGACAGAGATACCAGACCAAATACAGGGGGCACCTTGGCTGGGGCCACCCTGACCCCTGAGTGAGGCAGGACCTGGGAGACAGGCAGGGTGTGTAGGTGTCACCCTCACCCCCCTTCCCTGGGGACACCAGGAAGTCCTCACTGCTCAGTGATGCTCCGGGGGTCTCACCTGGCTTGCTGGTGGGTCTCCGTGGGATGGGGGGCAGGGCCCCACTGGGCCAGCTGGGGCTGCTGGAAAACAGGAGAGAGGTTAGAATCATCGAATCGTGGAATCATGGAATTGTTTGGGCTGGAAAAGACCTTTCAGTCACCCAGTCCAACTGTTCCCCCAGCCCTGCCCAGGCCACCCCTGCCCCGTGTCCCTCAGCACCATCTCCAGGGCTTGGAAACCCCTCCAGGGATGGGGACTCCCCCCCTGCCCTGGGCAGCCTGGGCAGGACCTGACAACCCTTGCCAGGCCGGAATTGTTCCCCAGATCCAACCTCAACCTCCCCTGGCACAACTTGAGCCCATTTCCTCTTGTCCCATCCCTTGTTCCTGGGGAGCAGAGCCCGACCCCCCTGGCTCCAACCTCCTCTCAGCAGCTGCAGAGCCAGCAGGTCTCCCCTCACCTCCTTGTCTCCAGGCTGGACACCCCCAGCTCCCTCAGCTGCTCCTGCTCACACTTGTGCTCCAGCCCCTTCCCCAGCTCCCCTGCCCTTCCCTGGACACGCTCCAGCCCCTCCATGTCCTTCTTGTCCTGAAGGGCCCAGAACTGACCCCCAGATTTGAGGTGTCCCCTCCCCAGTGCTGAGTTACTACAGCCGGGGCTGGGTGAGGTGGGACCCTGTGGGGTTTTCCCACCTTGTTTTCCCCCCTGGTCTCCATGGGATGGAGGCTGCACCAAACCCAGGATGTGCAGCACCCCCTCCCTGCTCACAACACCCTCCTCATTCCCTTGCCCTCCTCACCCTGGGACCTACCAAGCTGTGTCTGGGGCTGCTGGGCATTTCCCACCCCAGCTTGCCCCGCTCCATCATGTCCCGCCCAGCTCCCCCCATCAGCCAGCCCAGAGCCCTCTCTCAGCCACCCCCTGCCAGGCTGGGGAGCCCCAGCCCGGCTGCCTGGTGGGGCAGCAGCTTCTCCCCCCAACCAGAAGAACCACCCCTGGGCCCAAAGGCCACCCCGTCAGCTCAGAGGGGTCCCAGATGCCCTGTGGGACCTCTCCATGGTGGTGGGGAGGGCATGAGAGGGTGGAGAAAGGGGCTTTGGCAGCACCCAGAGGCAGGAAGGGCTGGGCTGGGAGTAGGGTCCCAGAGGTTGGGGTCTCTGTCCATTCTGCACCCCCCACCCCCTCAACTCCCTGGGATCTACTTACTCAGTTGTGTTGTCCAGCTGGGTCAGCTCCTGAAGGGACAGACCCTGGGGACCATCCTCCCTTCCCAAGCCCTCGGTGGGTGCTGATGGGGACTTGAGTCCTTCGTAGATGACGTTGGACACCATCTCCAGCCTGCCCTGCCCTGGGCCTGCCTGCTGGGCTGCCCTGGGGCAGGGTGAGGGGTCCCTCCTGGCCGGGGTGGCCGCGGCAGGCGGGGGGGGGGGGGGTGCAGGGTGACCCCCCGGGACACCCC